AAGTCACAAGCTTGTTGCTTCAGCCAATCCGATGCTTCAATTTTAAAGTCGTATGATGCTTACGACGCTTGCGACACTACGATACGACCAATGTAAAATGGCCTTTAGATGAAAACTGCACTAGAGCAATAATAGTGCAGGTTTAGTGCGGTTTAATGGAACATATTATTAGACATCCATTTTATTGACATTCATTTTATAACACCCCTAAAAATATATATAACTATGTTCGAATTTAAATTACTTATTTTATAATATTCTAATTCATTTATTTATTTAAAACATTTTTTAAAATTAAATTTTTACATTTAAAGAATTTTAAATGTCAAAATGTCATCGCATAGCTAATTAGAAACATTGAAACTAAACAATGTCATTGTTATAACATTAATTACAATAATGTAATATCATATAACTTATCATACCTTAGCACGAACACAACCTCAATTTCAACTTACACTGGTCTCCACTGACTTCAAAGACAGTGGAGCAAAAGTTGAACTCAGTGCAAGTTTTTTGCACCAGTTTTATCAATGGAACATTAACACTGAACTAGTTTTCACAGTGGAACAACACAATTGCACTCAGTGCGCACCAGTATTGCACCAGTTTTCCCAGTGGAAAACGCTATTAGATATGGATCGCGCAGTCCATTCTCTATTGGCCGCAGCACATGCTCTTGCATAACGCATAATGCATAGTGCATAAAGGAATCAACCAATCAAAATTCTTCTTTTCCGTGGAATGAGAGGAAATGAAAGATTCTGATTAGTTGATTCGCTTATGCACTATGCGTTATGCGTTATGCAAAAATGTGTGCTGCGACCTTAATAGGCCTTCTACAAAGTCGCAAGTCAGAATGTCAGAAGTCTTAACCAGTCTTAACCAAGTCGTTCAAGTTGGCTATTGGCCAACTTCATCGATTATGACTTAAGGTTTGTTCGCGTCGCATGCTCTAACATGTTCCAACATACTCCTACCATAGCTCCTACTCACTCTATCAAGCGCGTTGTAGTGAGTAGGAGCTATGGTAGGAGCATATTGGAACATATTGGAGCACGCGAACAAACCCTTAAGATCGCTTAGAACTTCTGACTTGCGGCTTATTGTAGAAGGCCCATAAGTCTTTGGTGTCGTTAACCCCGGAACTACAATACATGTTTTAGGCTTTAAGTCGTAAGAAATCAATTAATTGCGGTTTGTTGAATTCGAGCAGAATAATCGATTATGATTCGTTCATTTCTTATGGCTTAAAGGCTTAAGGTTAAAACTCTATTGTAGATCCGGGGTAAAAGGCCTGCAGTGGAAAGGCCGCAGCACAGACTTTTGCATAACGCATAACGCATAGTGCATAAGCGAATCAACTAATCAGAATCTTTCCTTTCCTCCCATTCCATGGAAAAGAAGAATTTCGATTGGTTAATTCCCTTATGTACTATGCATTATGCATTATGCAAGAATCTGTGCTGCGGCCATAATTCTGTAACTCGTTATGCGATCGTTATGTGCTCATAACGACAGTCGCGCAGATATTTTAAATGGTAAAAAAGCTGCGTAACTGTCGTTACGAACTCACAACAACTGCATAACGAGTTACAGAATTTTACTACTGACCCTGTATTCTGTAACTCGTTACCCCGGATCTACAATAGGGTTTTAAGCCTTAAGCCATAAGAAATGGGCGAATCACAGTCGCTTATTCTTCTCGGATTCGACTGTAATTGGTCAGTTTCTTACGGCATAAGACATAAAACACCTATTGTAGATCCGGACTTATGCAGTTGTTATGAGTTCATAACGACAGTTGTGTAGCTTTTTTACTATATAAAATATCTGCGCAACTGTCGTTATGAGCACATAACGATTACATAACGAGTTACAGAATTCCGTTGCTGGGGCACTATTCTGTAAAGCGGGGTCTACAATAGAAGTCGTAGCAGTCGTAGAGTCTTAAGTCGTAGAAAATTAACCAACCACAGTAAAATATGAGAAGAATAATCGACTATGATTGGTCAATTTTCTACGACTTAAGGGGATGCTGGAGTGACGGTCGAAGTTAATCAAGGTCGATAGTACAGACTTTTTTCAATTCCAAATTCGACAATAGTGACATCTTTCATTCATTTCTTATATTTATTATATATCGTTGTGTCTCACTCAAACGCATTCATCTGTCCTTATCTAACATATTGCAACGCCATCTCTTAGAAAGAGATAAACTAAAATACTGTTCGGTTTCATGGCTAAGCAGTCATACATCGTCGATTTTTCACGCGCTAAACACACAATTTCGTTCCTTGCGCTAATCTTTTTATTTAGGCGTCAAAACTTAATTCTAAAGATACGATTGTAATCGTCTATTTATTCTACATGTGCTCCTGCCCTAATTTCGAGCATATAACATGCATATAATTTTTTCACGAAGTAAATGTTTGGTGAGCTGATAGCACATGGATACAGGAATCTGTAATTAATTATTTTTCCCAGTTTTGGACACAAAATACACCAGGAGCAGGTACATTAGCACGGATATTTCAATCGTGGAGAAGGAATTTTTATTCTGTGCAACTAATTCGAAGAACCGCGCAAGGAACATAAACGCTTGCTTTATCGGTAAAAAAGAAGGCTCCAGCATCCCCTTAAGACCCTACGACTGCTACGTCTTCTATTGTAGACCCCGTTTAACTGTTTTACCGTTTAACTGTTTCACAGTTTTGTGACTTCCCATTTCAACGTTTCCAAGTATGTCTTGACCACTTTT